TAAGATCCCATACAGTCTGTATCGGATCTCTACAGGATCCCATACAGTCTGTATCGGATCTGTATTGAAGCGGCGGCACGCTGGCACGCATACGTTTTTCACCCATAGGACCACGTCAAGGTCCGTAAGGGAGTCCAAGGGAGTTCCAGTTTTTGTTTTTTTTGTTGGTTGCTGGTTGCTGTTGCTGTTGCTGTGGGGGGGGGGTCAGAATGCGTCCACGGGGCTCTGAGCGCAGCCTTCGCAATAAGGCGAGGGCGGGTCCGGACGGCTAGAGCTCACGGGGCTCCCACGCACGCCTTTTCCTTGTTGAACATTATGAATTCTAAAGAATAATTATTGTTGGGGCCCCTGGTGCACGGCCCCCCCGCCGCGCCTAGGCCGCAGCTACATTTTCATCATTTTTTCGCGAAAGCTTCAGAAAAGTGGATGGGGTCCAGATCCGGTTGTTTTGTTGTAATCCGTTTTCCCTTGCAAAAAACACTATAAAATGACATTTCTTGTTCTAATATAATCAAATTTCAAGAATCCCTTGCAAAAAATAAGGTAAAGTGGACATTCGCGCGCGCAAGACGAAATCCTTCCAAAAGCTTAGTGTTCGGAGCGATTTTAACATAAAAACATCAAAAAACCAATGGTTTTTCAACAAAAAAATGTCAAAATCTCATCCCGCGCGCTCTTGCGGATTCGTAGGAAACCCAACACTTTTTAAACATTTCTGTCAAACGGGCTTTTGCGAGCAACTTTTTCGAACTTCTGCGACAACGGTTGCGCACCTGCCAGGGCCATCATCCCTGTCAAATAATACCATGCGGGACACATTCGTTTTTTCTTCGCGCGCGCACGCCGAAATCTCCAAAAACCATTGGGCTTCTTAATAATTTTAGCACCGCGCATCATAAAATCACACGAATCGCACCGTAGGTCCTCGAAAAACACCTGCACGACTTTTCAAAATTTCTACCCGCGCGCTATCATGTGTATCATGTACCATATGCATCATATGCAACAGATGTTCTGTGGAAGGCTTAACAACTTCTGTGGGTTAACAAGGCTTAAGAACTTCTGTGGGTGTACGAACGTAGGCTTAACAACTTCTGTGGGTGTGTACTCCACGCCAGTGTAGTAGCCACGGTCGTCCGCAGGCCACGAAGTGAAGTGTCCGAACGTCATAGGGCGGGAAGCTGGGTGTGGGTGGTGGCGAAGAGTCGTGTGGATATTTGGTAGAGCTTGCACTGCCCCCCCACAAAGTGGGGGTATTGGCTGGCGTCGCATGAAAACCCTGGCACTGGTGAGAACACTGAGCGTTCGGGTAAAGTGATTGTTGTTGTTGTTGTTGTTGTTGTTGTTGTTGTTGTTGTTGTTGTTGTTGTTGTTGTTGTTGTTGAACATTATTACTTCTAAAGAATAATTATTGTTGGGGCCCCTGGTGCACGACCCCCCCGCCGCGCCTAGGCCGCAGCCATTTTCATCATTTTCGTGAGGAAGTCTCAGGCAAAACGGGTTGGTCCGGATCCGGTTGTTTTGTTACGATCCGTTTTCCCTTGCAAAAAACAAGCTAAAGTGGACATTTCTTGTTCTAACATAACCAAACTTCAAGAATCCCTTGCAAAAAATAAGGTAAAGTGGACATTCGCGCGCGCAAGACGAAATCCTTCCAAAACCTTAGTTTTCGTAGCGATTTTAACATAAAAAATAAAAAACAATAAAAAACAATTGTTTTTTTTTTTTTTTTTTTTTTTTTTTAAAAAAAAAAAAAAAAAATTGTCAAAATTTCATCCCGCGCGCTCTTGCGGATTCGTAGGAAACCCAACACTTTTTAAACATTTCTGTCAAACGGGCTTTTGCGAGCAACTTTTTCGAACTTCTGCAACAACGGTTGCGCACCTGCCAGGGCCATCATCCCTGTCAAATAATACCATGCGGGACACATTCGTTTTTTCTTCGCGCGCGCACGCCGTCGTCGTCGGCCGCGGGGCCCTGAATAGTAGCCACGGTCGTCCGCATGCCACGAAGTGAAGTGTCCGAACGTCATAGGGCGGGAAGCTGGGTGTGGGTGGTGGCGAAGAGTCGTTTGGAAATTTGGTAGAGCTTGAACCGGCCCCCCCACAAAGTGGGGGTATTGCCCGCCTCCTATGAAAACCCTGGCACTGGTGAGAACGGAGTGTCCCCACGTGCTAGTAATTGTTGTTGTTGTTGTTGTTGTTGTTGTTGTTGTTGTTGTTGTTGTTGTTGTTGTTGTTGTTGTGTGTGTGTGGTTGGCTGTCCCCACGACTGCTGCTGCTGTTCGTTCTGCTCTCCCTCCCCTTTTTTTGGTTCTCTTGGGCTTCGGTGCCTCGTGGGAGCGCAGGCTGGTCCTCGGCCCATTTGCCCACCTCCCGTTGCGCTTCCTGCTGCAATTTCCCTGCGAAGCCGCCGCCTGCAGCACCTCGGCCTCTTTTGGGAAAATGTATCTCTCTGCGCGGGCTGCCATGGACGGAGCTTCGAGTCTTGATTTTGCGAC